TTGGGGCCTCTGTCCCTTTAAATCCATAAAAGCTGCTTTTGGCCCCCCCCCCCCCCCCCTCCCAACCCAATGTTTACACTCCCACGAGAAAATAGCACACAAACAAATCCCCAATTATACAACAGTACATCTTTGAAAAGCAGACGTGGAGCCTCCAGCACAACCAACAAGAAAACAGCAAGTGATTTCTGAAAGGTAAATCGACATCAAAACGCTTGTTTTTTCCAGCAGCCATTGTGCAGCACATACTACGGCAAAGCCAGCAGACCAAATAAATGATCTGGACCTCTGCTTGGGTTGGTAAGTGACTGCAAGGTTTCCCCCAGAAAACTTGCTAAGCCTGGTGGTTGGGTGCTTGAACTCATATTTTTGAGTTGAAAATATCACTTGATAATTATGTATTATTAAAAGATTGGAAGATTAACACCTGAATATCAACTCTGATGTCTTAAAAATGCAAACATTTTAAAAAGACTTAAATAAATAAGTAATGCTCAGCCTAGTGGCCCGCCAGGCTTATAATACACTGGGGGAAACCCTGTGACGGGCTGGGATTTGCTGGGGTTGCTAAGTAACGGGCTGGGATTTGCTGGGGTTGCTAGGTAACGGACTGTGCTTGCTGAGGTTTTTCAAACAGCTCATTTTCCAGACACCAAGAAACATACTGGTGTCTGGATGGGTGATTTATTTCATTTTATTTATTTTTTTTAAGTGCTTTTGCTATTTTTAAAAGTACAAAAATGTGCAAAAAGTAAATTTTGCATCATAGACTCCCTTTAGATTTGAAGTCTGTATCGTTTTCCTCCATGGGTCGCTCTGGAGAACTAGATTTACTCTCCGTTGCAACAAGAGAGCAGAAAAGTTCCTGTTGGGGTGGAAGAAAGTTGGAGTCCTGCTTGGCTTCGCCACCATCACACGTCCCACTGTCTCTCTGAGTGGAAACCGCCTGGTCCACACACACACACACGCACACACACACCCCTTCCCTCCAGCAGCAACTCTCACACAAGTACACACCAAGTGAACCTTGACGCCAACAACCTGCCCCTCCCCTCCATGGCCTTTCCCTCTCTCCCTCTCTTTCATCACTCTATCTCAGCCTCATTGTACGCTGCCACACTCGTCTCCATGGAGACCGCTCTGAGGCTGGTTGTTGCTCCTGTGACCTCTCTGGCTCACGGAGTTGAACAAACTTTTTTTCCTCTCCTCGGCTCCCCCTCTCGCCGATCCCCCATGCTACTTCCATCCTCTCTCGTGTGCTGCTGCACGTCTTCAAAGCATTTCCAGGGTGTGTGTGTGTGTGTGTGTGTGTGAGAGAGAGAGAAAGAGAGAGAGAGAGAGAGAGAGAGAGAACATGAAAACTGGATGTGAAATTAAGAAAAGACAAAGCGGAGAGAGCCCTTCTGTGTGTGACGCAAACTGCCCGTTGGCAAAAACAATGTGTGTGTGTGTGTGTGTGTGTGTGTGTGCGTGCGTGTGCGTGTGCGTGTGTGTGTGTGTGTGGTGGAGCAAGCCAGGCGCTCAGTCCATGCATGTGTCCCAGCATTGTTCTGCGGCCGCAGCCGGTCGCCAGCTTCGTATTCAGAGACACCCCCATCGTCCATCTATGCCTATTCATGGCTGTTCGGTCGAACGTGATCGCAGCTTTTCATGCTGCGCTATAAAGCGAGACGACTGAATATGCAAAGATGTAACAACTAAGGAAGCCATCTTGGTACAAATTCTGAGCAATTATCACATCAAGACTTATTTAAATGGTTTCCTTTGAGACAAAAAACTGACTTTAAATGAGTCGCGGGTCGGTTTTAACGGACCAGCACGACTTCCCACAGAGGCACACAAACGATCCCAGCTCCTTTGTGCCATTAAAACAACTTTTCCGACTGGGTTTTTGTTTGTTTGGCATCATCTACCAGCTCAGAAACGAGAAGGAAAAAGTAAATGACAGAAAAACTAAAAAAATTGATTTTATTTTTTCCACCCCCAGTCATCTGGTTCTGATCTGCGGATTTTCTCTGGAACCTTTGGAGATTATTCTGCAAAGCAGGAAAAACATCGCAGAGAAGACAAGAGAGTCTTCAGTCAGAGGAGTGTTCATCACCGCTGTAACACTGACTGCTACAGGAGAACGTTAGATAATATAAATTGCAATGTAATTTAACATTTCTCTGGGATCTATAAAGTATTTTTGACCTCCAAGAACGAGCCTGGATGAACGGACATCGACAACAACTGGATGTTCAAACATTCCAACTCATTATTTTACTTTCGTTTCACACTTTAAATGATCTTGAATTCATACTGTCCTAAATAAAAACAACAATACGCAGTTTAACGTATTTTACATACAAAGACAGACACTAAAAAATGCCCGTTTTCCAGCGTGATTCACACTGCGACTCTCTTCTGCAGGGCACATGGCAGCAGTAGGTGGACGTCAGCCTGAGCCGTGTCATTTAGAGAGACGGTTTGTTTTTTCTGTTTTACCTCACCTTTCTAAACTTCTCATCAAGTAGAATTACTTTTGATTACGACGGCCGGATAAATTGCAACCTATCAGGATTCTGAGTTTAAACTTTACCAGACTGAGGCTCTTCTGTAATGGTTTTTAGAGCGACATCTCTGGCTGAGTTCTGCATTCACTGGGACAGATGATGGTGTTGATTTAGCTGTAAAACTGGCATCAATGTATGCCTCTTTAATATTAAAGATACTTTAAATCCTCTGTGATGCTGTCACCTTTAAGTAACTGATTGTTACATAAGTAACGTCTAGCTAAAATGGAATTAGGAGGTCAAAAATGCAGTTTTGAATGCAAATTGTTGACTTTGTAAAGTACTCAGACATTTTTTTAATGGAACTGTCCTATAATTAGATTTTTTTTTTTTAAAAACACAGTACAATAAATTTAAAATCTAAGGTTATTGGTGTCAAATTTATGTTTGCTATTCCTTATGAAAAATGTAAAATCCTTTAAAAAAAAATTATATATATATATATATATATATATATATATATATATATATATATATATATATATATACATACACTCTTACAAATGGGAAAGATGAGAGAAAATACAACTTTCTGAAAACTTGGCTGTTAGCAGAGGAAAAGCTGAATTGCTCTGTTGTGGACGCGACAACAACAAACTGCGGTTCCCTTCCACAGGACTTGCAGACGAGCTAAAAGTCACCAGAGCCAGAATGGGGAAGCATCAAATGGTCCAGGCGCAGATCTGGATGGAGACGAAGGAGGGGCGGCTCAGCGGGGCTATGACCAGGCGTTAGCAAGCCGGCTGGATTAACTGGAATGCAACCATTCGGAGGATAACTTGGGCACAGGGCGGAACTTTGAAAGTCAGAGCCAGCAAGACTCAAGTTTCTGATCAAGTCGGTGTGCATGATGCAGAATCACCAGCGTCTCCACTGGGCCCAGGCTGAGACTCACTAGCGCACAAGCTGCTGCCTTAAAGCCTGGGGAAGTGACGCAGAAGGCAGCAGCTGATGCCATTTTACCGGAATCCAGCAGAGGAAACACAAGTTCCCAGTAAGACAGAGTATCATCAGAGCAGGGGAAGTTCAAACCTCGACCTTTCAGCTGCTAACCACAGCCCATGGCTGAGAGTTAAGAGAAGATCTTGGAAGACAGATAAAGTTTCCAGAGCGCACAGCAAAGACGTCAATCAGGCCAGATTCGGCCTTCACATCAGAGCCCGCGAAGCAAGCATGCTGCTGGAGCTTCCAGTCCCCCCGGGAAGATCGGATGTGGGAGGCCCACGAACGTAAGAAGGACAAATATCTGAAGTTGAGATGTAGAGGAAGAGCGGCTGGCAGGCCCGCTATGAGCAAACTGAGGAGGCCTGCAGGGGTTATTTCAGGGCAATCTGCGCACCGTCCGTTTAGGGTTGGTAGAAATTAGAGCCACCAGAAACATCAGTGAAGCTGCTATAAAAGCCCCAAGACAGCTGTGGATCAAGAAGGGAAGATGGTAACCTGGGACTGATAACCGGTCGATTTAAGATTGATTGATTTAAGACCCGGGTTCATCACTGACGATGAACCATCAAGGTGTCTCATAGATCGAAGGTAAATGTGCGTTTATTCTCACAAGGCAGTAAGAAATAACAGGAAAATAGCTACTTGGATACAGTAGTAAATATTTAAAGTTAAATAACACTTACAAGGTGAAAAGCAACTAATCAGAGTCAAGTAAGGCTGGTGAGGACAATGTCCACCTGCCACTAAACATTGAGGTGGAAGGGGAAAAGATTAAGCTAACTGTAAAAGAAAGTAAACTTTTAGAAATGTTATAAGCAGCTAAAATGTTCTGTGAAGGTATAATTTGCCACTGCCTTGTATTTATGTCAACTGTTTGATGGATAAAATTGCTAAAATATTTTTTATCATTAAAAAATTGAGGTAGGAGGGGGGGGGGAATTAACTTGCTACAGAATAAAATTAGTGGTTAAAAGTGCTAAAAGAGAACATTTCTTTTTTTTTTACAAAATGACTTTGAACTATTGCTTTTGATAAATAAAAACTATTAAAAATAAAAATATCGATAGGAAAAGCAACAACAACAAAAAACACGCAGAAATTGTGAGAAGATGTGCAGACACAGAGGTTGACATGCTGTTTGAGGCCTAACCAAGGTTCACATTCAATAGTCTAAAGATGCATTCACGTATTTGCATGCATCTCTATAATGCAATTTACATAACTGTGGGCTATTAAAAACTGAGTGAAAATCTCCGTGGATGTTTTACGTCTGACAGAGCAGCATCTAAAGAAGGATTTTTTTATTTCTGTGTTGTTGATATTTGCGGGTAAAGCAGGACTGCAGCGTTCAGCAACGCTATGATTCAGGCCAGAAATATGGCCTCCACTGACCTGCAAATTAGACTTCCTGCTTCCAGTAAAACAGCTGCATGAGTCAGATGTCTCGCATTAAACGAGAAAGTTAAGGCCTACAGTCTCAGTCAGTTCCCAAAATGCACAGTCACACTTGCATTTTGACTGTTTTTGTTGCAGTGTGATCGACAACTCTGTGTTTTGCATGTTTGTTTGTTTTTTATGTCAAGCCTTCAACCTGACGCTTAAATTAATGCGAAACAGCTGCAGTGCACACAGCAGCTGCAACACAGTCAGAAACACTGCGTGCGTTTGGCGCACATTTGTGCATTTCCTCCAGCTTCCAGGCCGTGCTTCTCCTTTCGTGGACATGGCGAAGAAATCCGGAGGCACGTTAAAAATGTTAGTAAACATTCCCAGTCGCAGAAGGATGACTAACCTGCTCTCCAGCTGACTGAGCCTGAGATCAAAGTCGGGGAGTTCAGATGTCACTTCTCTAAGAGGAAGCTGCGGCTTTGCGAAGCAGCCAACTCTGCCTCTGCAAGGAGAAACACGAGCACAGAAAAAAAAAAAAAAAAAGCAATGATGAAACCGAGGCTATTTTCTGCCGCTGCAGAAACGGCACCGGGCTTGTTTACTTTTTGGAGTTTCACATGAACTAAGATAAAGTGCTGTTTAATCCCACGGCATTGTCTTAGAGACACAGAGGCGGCGTCTTGAGCACCCAGCCCTCGGCAGACAGAGGGAGAGAGGTGAGCGTGCTGGAGCATGCCTTCTGCTAATACTTCTCTGTTTACAGAAGCAGGGCAGCAACATAACCAGAAAATCTGCGCAACAGCTCCACCAGGAAGGACTCGAGCTTAACGTGCTCTCATGAGCTACCGGCTGGTTTTCGGAGCACAGGAGAGACGTCAACGTTTTATGTTACAGAGCGCAGAAGAAGCAGATTAATTACTTAACGTTCATTAAGATTTCATCTTTAAAGGTCAGCAAATCGCTAATGCGATTCATCTTGAGGATATTTTTTTTTTCCATCTGAATGTAGTATCACCTCTTTATAGAGATATATAAACAATCAGGAATTATTTCAAAGTTTATCGCAGTAGCATGTTGTCACACTGAGACAAAATCCAACATTTAACTTAAGTACATTTACCCAAGGGAAAAATCCCACTTTAAAAAAACAACAACAAAAAAACAATTGTTTTTGACTAAATTACCAGCGGAGCACAATTAGAGAACAATTACTGGCATCCCTGCTGATAATACTTAGTTTAATGTAATTTTGCCAGAACGACGCTAGGTGGTTTTCAACTCTGACTTTTCACAAAGCTGGAGAAAACAGAAAGTGTGACCTTTGACCTTTTTTTTTTCTTTTTTTGCACCATCTCTCTATATCAGAGGTCTCCAGATCTGCTGGCCTGCAGCTTCCTGATGCATCCTTACTCCAACACATTTATATCAAATAAATGGCCCATTACCAGGCCTTTGCCAAACTTGAAGAGGTCATTCAAATTATTGATTAAGCCGTGTTGGAGCGGGGAGGACGGGTCTCAAAGTTGCAAGGCCGCAGCTCTCTGGGACTGGAGTCGGGAGAGTTGATTTGGCCGTAGATTATTCTGCTGAGAGACTGATGGCAACTCGTTTTCAGTTTTCTACCAAGAGTTCGTCCATTTCTTATTTAAAATGCCCCGCCGTTTCAAAGAGCTCGTGATTTCCTGCACACTCTTGACATGTTTGAAGCCCAGAAGAGTTGGGAAAACTTCAAAAGTTTACGTTTGCAAGTTTCCAGCAGTGTGTTTTTCTGATGTTTCATTCGCCACCCATCCTCCTCACACCGCATGGCGGCATAATTAATATAAAACTGGGCCCTCATCCAGCCTGTGGCATGTGGCTAAGAGCAACGGCCCTCTGCGTCTTGCTATGTTTGTACCACAGAGAAAGAAAAACTTGTGGGTTAGTGGTTAATTAAAAAAAGCATAAAGTACAAAAATGCTTCATGTTACATTTATTACATTAATTTTTATTAGGTGTACCAACAATAGCAGCATCTGCGATTTTGTTGGAAATGTTTATCGAGATATTTTTCTCTCAAAAGTTGCGATTTTCAAACATTTGTGAGTTATTTTCATTAGTTCACTAGGTTTACTTCAATAATTAGCTCATCATCCATTTCCTAAATTACTGCATGAGATCACATTTTACCTTTTATATACAAACAACCTCTGCTTTATGGTTATACTCCTCAAGATAGCAATAATGGCTCCACTGGAAATCACAATTAAATCATCGTTGGGTTAAAGAGCAACAAAATGGAATATGAAAGCATCAATTATCTTGAGATAATTAGCATACAGAGGGTGTTTTAAGTTTTTAGGGCGTCAGAGAATGATAAGCCTCACAAAAAATAAATAAATAAATAAACATGCTAGGGGTTTAGCTGGTTGAACCCTGCAGAGAAACAGTGAAGGACGGAAACATTTGCGCTTAAAACCGGTCCGAGTGGATCCCAAAGGCCTGCTGGAGGCACGGAAAGGGTTTCACCCAGTCACCTGATAAGTGCTGTTAGACCGTTACACAGCTATTCTAGACTTGCCTGATTATAACGCGGTAGGCGGATCCGTCGACGTATCAAGTGACACACGGGAGGTTTCATCCACCGGAGGCTCACATGGCCGCGTTCAGGTCGCCTGAGTCGGTGAACTACAGCGAGCGTGTCCTCTCCGTTACCCCTGGTAATAGAGAGGACACAAATGTATGAAAAGCAGGATTTAGACTGGGTGCGGGCGTCATAGGGGGCGCCGCCAGAGGGGGCGCCAAAGCAATGGGCAAAAAAAAAATATATATTTATTTGTCGCCATTTTCTGTACTTCACAGCTGTTTGTGCATGTGTAGATGATATTATCAGTGTATAATAGCATATAGTATTACATGGTTTTTCTTCTTATGAATCCATGACCAAGTGAGATTTATTCACCTGAACGTTGAATCCCTACAGGGGGAAGGCGGGGTGTTATAATGTGAGCATACACCTGAGATAGTACATAGCTGCGCCCCTGGGTGTGGGGAGTGAAGCAGTCTGGCTGGCAGCAACCCGCTGGCAAAATGTGGTTGTGTAACAGGAAGGAAAACAAGCGGAGGGGAATAGGGACGGGAAGGTTTAGAGAGCGGATGTTGCCAAAGGAGACTAGAAAGGATAGGTGGAAAATTATCTGGGAGGGGACTGGTTGATACGGTGTGGAGGAGGGCGGTCGGCTGGTTTTTCCACTGACACAGAGAGCGAGAAAGAGAGAGAGAAAGGGAGAGAGAAAGAGGCAGAGAGAAAGAGAGAGGGTATGGCTAAATCAAATTAATTAGCTCCTTCATCTCCAGGCAGCTACTCAGGCATGCTGTCCTGGCAAAGGGGTGACAGTTGGAAAAGAGAGGAGGTCTGTGGGCATGGGAGAAAAGGAGAAAGCCACATAGGACACGGTGGAGGGCTGAAAAGCCTGCTGTGTGTGTGCACCATTCAGGAGGGGCGGCGGGGAGGGGCGAATAATTCTCTGATAAGCTCCAGGGTTGTTTTTACTGGAGCCACTGCTCAGTCATAAGGAGGAGGAGGAGGAGGAGGAGGAGGAAGTGGCTGCGTGTTGGCTGCTGTCCTTTGAGGTGATGGTACTTCCTGTTTCTAGACAGCCTGTAGTTTGAAGGCGCTGTAAACAAGCCTTGCTCTTCTGCACGCCTCTTTAAATAGCACTTCAGTGACAGCCCTCTGGAAGGAAGGGTAATCTGAGCGAAGCTCGCAGGAAGCAGAGCGACACAAAGGGACTGTGACTCCGAAATCAAACACAAGATCACAAATCGGTGACTGACTTCAAAAGAAAAAGGTCGGGAGGAGTGCGGGGGGGGGTGTGTGAACTGAAAGCAAGGAGGACAAACAAAGCAAAGCAAATGTAACAGGCATCGTGCCAAGGAAATCAGCAGAGAAAGTAAAAACAGAAGAAGAAGAAAAAAAGACACCAGAGACAAGATTTCTGAGCTTTACCAATAGGCAAAACAACAAGAAGGGGAAGATTAAAGCGTAGAAGGAGAATCAGAGAGAGTACAAAGATGGTTGGAGTTCTGAAAGCATTGAGGAATTCCTGAAAAAGGAAAAAAAAAACACACACACACACACACACACACAAGGTTCGAACAAAAAAGAAGATAAAGCAAGACGATTCACTGGGACAAGCGTAAAAAAAAGAAGCTTTCCTACTGCTTGAATGAGAAAAGAATGACAGAGTGGGAGCAGGACAGACGGTGCCAAGGGTCAAAACCTTGTAAAATGAGAACAGAGGAGAGCTCAGTGCAGCAGTGTTGCCCAGACAAGAGTTGGCTGCACTGTAAGAGCCCGAGATTAGCACTAAGCTGATTGCAGGGTGAGTTTGGGATCAGGAGAAATTAATTTAGCACCCAGATAGTTCCAGGAAATGATTGAAAGGACTCTAAAAAGATAGAAACTCATGGCGAATCCTCCGCCGTAGCACAAGGCGGCTCAACGTTCGCCGTGCTGTCTCCTGATTCCTGCAAACGAGCCAGAAAAGAAAGGAAAGAAAAAGGGGGTCCTGAGAACAAGGAGGGCTTCAAAGGGCCGTTTGGACCTTGACGGGGGAAGGATG